TATTACAAGAGGCCCAAATTGAGAACAAATCTATTGGAAAACCTCACAATGGAGAATCCATTTGGTCAGGAGAAAGTGAGGACTGAGACTGACAATCTGCTATGAAATCCATCACCCCAAAAAAAATATCAAGCTAGAAGGCTGATATGCTTGGAATAGGTCCCACAGAGAAAGAACCAAATATAAGAGACCACTGGAATTAATGAAATATCTTATGAGGATATTCCTTTGCAAGAGATCTAGACCATGCACTATTGCCTGTTGGACAGCAAGAAGTTCTAAATTACTGATGCAGAATGAAGCTTTGTCCTCCCTTCATATAACCTGGAATTCCTGACCTTGAAGATGCACACCTCATCTCCAAAGTGAAGTAACTGTGAAGAGATAAGCTATGGACAGAGGGGCAGTATACATTTATATACCCACACACATACATATATATATACATACACAACCACACACCTGCAGATACACATACATACAGACACAAGCTAATCATATATAGAGTTAATCCAAACCACTACACACAAAAAGTAAGATGTTGCTCCTGATGAAAGGAACTGGAAAATCCAATGGATTGAAGTTCCAAATCCATTGGTTGCAATGGGACCACTGAAGGGATAGCATGTGTCCTCATTCCAAAAAATTCAAGAGATTTGAAGGAAGCCCACAACCCCAGAGATAGAACTATCCCTGTAAGTAACAGCCTGACTGCTCGTTCTGTAGCCTCGAGCTGGATAGGAGGTGGCTATGCTGGGCATAAAACATGGTGAAAACAGGTACATCCCAGCAGAAGACACATGGTGCTGATGCTATATCAAAGGCTAGATCCCTGAACCGTAGAACCTGATCCCTGTATACAAAACATAGCTAAAGGCAAGATGAAATCACTATGAGAATGTGGAGAAATGCCTCAGCAACCTCAGAGTTAGGCATCCACAGACCTGGTGAAGAATGCCAATGTAGGATGAGAAAGGACTCCATTATAGACTGGGAGGAATGAAGAATGGGTTGAGATAAGAAAGAACAACAATCATATGCAAATCTCCCCTTGTCTCAGGCACAACAAATAAACAGGAATAAAATCCCAGAATAATGGGATCAACTACCGTCCCTATGATCAGTAACTCTGATAGGCGTGAAATGAAATCTACACTCCACTGTTCAGGTGGAAGTGGAAACACCAGAGGGTGAGAGGATAATGGAGGTAGAGAATTGAATGGAAAGACCAACCTTGATACCAGAACCCGAAGCACCCATGGATCTGCAGTGAAAGAATTCCAGGTGTCCATCAATAGTTGTAACCTCACTCTAACTGCCCCCCCCCCCACCCTACACACACACACACACACACCATTGGCACTGGTTGGCTTAAATGGAGTAGCCCTGAAACTAACATCTCTGTATATTCAGTCAGCTGCTAGAGCCAAAGAAGGTCAAGAGATCAACAACAACAAAAAACCAAAGGGGTGACAGCAATTCGCAATACATCCCCCTGGAGGTGGAAAGCCAAAGCATGCCAACAGACAAATGAGGGTACAAGGTATATATATCCCATTAGGTAATAATGCAGTAAATCTCTCATCACAAGCCAGGAATATCAGGTGAAGAAGAAAAAACTAAATTTTTCCCCCTCCAACCATTCCACCATCAAGGGAGGAGTAGACTCGAAGGTCACAGAGAATAGCTCCCAAATCTCAGAAACCCAAATGACTAATAGAAGAAAAAAAGTAGGCGATGGGTGATCCTAATTGGACTCGTGAGAAGCTGACTTAGTAAAGAAAAGTGTCTGAAAAACCAAGTCCAAATTCTCCCCAGAATAACCAGAATCAACAACAACAAAAAAAACACTTTCAGAGACCCCAGGAGAAAACACCCCCAGACCGAAAGTACGTCTTAACTCCCAAAGAATCAAAACACAGACAGCCTCAACTGAAAGTGACAACTCACCCCACCCCGACCGTAGAGAGACACTAGATAACAAAGGAGGAATAGGGAAGGTCGGATTAGGTGGCGTGCTGATAATGGTAATATGGGAGTTCATACCTGCAAACATCACATCCTATTTTTTTTTGTTATTATTATTAAAGGAAATGAAAATTATACAGAAAGCCACAAGGCGACACGAAAATAGCAATCCATAACTGAATGAACCACAGCACTTCATCAGAAAAAAAATGTGACCAACGCTTTGTCGAGAAAAAGTGATTACATTATCTGAGTGAGGTGTTTATATACAGTGTAAGGATAGAGGGTGCATTGATGAGGATGGAGGGATTTGCAAGTTGGATACTGCCAAGGGCATTTAAGTGGGATATAAAAGACTGGAGCATGCAAAACCAATGCTTAAATATGCAAATCCAACATCGAGGAATAGCTAAAGCGGCAGTGGAGGGTAAGTATTTTGGAATGAAAACTACACTGCAGGGCTATTATCAAGATGCATGATCATTAAATAGACCATGACCAGACATGGTGACATGGGCTGTAATGATATGGTGAGGCATCAAAAATCATTTTACCATAACATAATCAACCTCTGTAGTAATTAAATTGGACAGCCTAACAATCACTGACTATACAGTCAGGCAATTCTTTGCTACAAGGTCTTGATATCTGATTTTAATTGCATTCTTTAAAACTGAAAGTAGGATTTAACTTCACAAAAACTTTCATATTAAAATTAGCAACTTTCATTATATATATATGTATTGTGACTATGCAATCAACATATACAGTATATTAAAGAATGCTCAGAAATTTTCAAAATGACTAAATTTAATGTTAACAGCACATAATTTTAAGTTAAAAGTAACTATTTCATGATTGATATAACCCTAACTTAATTTAAGCAGTACTCCAATTCTTTATACTATTAACCCGCTTATCTCACCTGGTAACAGTTCACATGTGATGACCTTTTACAATTACATTCAAAATTTAATTAAACCACCTTATTACCATTGTATGTTAATAAACTTAGCATTAAAATGTACTTTATAATTCAAGTTATATATATACAAGCTTTAATTTATTAATTGTAAGAGGAAATATTTAAATAATTCAATTGTCACTTCTCTGTGTCACGTGATGATCTCTTCTTTCAATTCTTATTTTTAGATATTCTCTATTCCCATTAAGAGTTTCAGTGTGCCCAACCAATTAGAACTCACAAACTACAGATATTGACAAGCAATAATTAAGTATCTGTTAAGATGGGGACCAATTTTTCACACAATTTTTGCCTTATAGCTCAGTCAAAAATTATCAGATTTTGATAAAACTTGGTGAGCATATATAGAATATTATTCCTCACTGTCCTGCCAAAAATAGCCTGTGTCTGTTAATAACGACGAACATATTAGCACATTTTCGTATTTATTCAGAACCGAATACAATCAATGCTGAGATGGTATGAGCTCTACTGAGTGCCCCTCTAGTTACATGAATAAGACAGTTGAAAAGCAATGAATTATTGAGGAAGTAACTAGAAAAAACACAATTACTGATATGTCAACAGCTCAATAAGTTTACAGAATGTATATTTCTCAAACAGAATCAACTACTATATATATATATATATATTCCACCAAAGTTATAACAAGACCAGAGACTTTTAATTTTAGAAGAACCTCAAATGTTAAATCCAATGCAATTACTCTGATGATCTGTGGATGAAACATTTGCTATCATAACAATGGACAAAAAACTTTGTCAAGTACAAGATGGAAATTTTTTACTGATAATTTACAATGTTAAATTAAATGGGGTTCTTTCCTATTTTTTGAGAATATCTTCTTGTCCTTTGTTAAATTATCTTAAATTTTCATTGTTCTTTTACATTTTAGATTCCATGTGGAAGTTCCTTATTTTTCAAAATGACTGAAAACCAAGCTTTCCTAAAGGTTGTCAAAGAAACAGAGTAAATATACTATAAGTTTCAGTTATCACAAAGAGGATGTAGACATCCCATGTTCCCATAAGTACTTTCTTTTGTGACTAACATGTGTAAATATAAAACTCAGCAATACAAACCCAAATATGAGTTCTGCTGTACTGCAGTATAAAATTACACACAATATAATTTTTATTAAACTAATGCAAAACACATCTCCACCTTCAGTGAAGCACAGTAACTTTTACAAAATTGTGTTTTAAATGCATGAAAATAAATTAACAAATAACACAAGTAAAAACTAATTTTTATAACTAGTTGTGAGAGACAGAATATAAACTTGACATGTTATTTTACCATTTCTCTGATTTGAAATTATATTGAGTAAATTAATAGGAATGTGTAAAAAAAAAACACTGAAACCTAACATGATTTCAATCACAAATATTAAATTAGTACTTTAACAAGATTTAGGATTGCTATTCTTTGTTTCATGTCAAGGTACAAGAAGTAACAGCTTGTTAAATGTCTGACAGTAAGTGTAAAAATTCATTTAATAGAAAATTACAAGATGCACAAATCAAAACATGATGAACTCAGCTCACATAAATTATTGATGTAGTTTATGATACTTTAATTGTTGAATGATGTTCTCATGACACATATGCAGACTAAATTAATACATTCTTTGCAAAGGGGATTTAAAAGAAATCCATTTGTATTTAAATACCAATAGAAAATTTGAGACACTGCAGTGATATTTTACTTCAACAATTATTTATGTTAATTTATTCCTTAAAGCCTGCTACAAAACAACAAAAAGGACAGTTCTGGAACCTTTACATAAGAAGATTCAGATATTACAATTTTTCATAAAAGTATAATGATTTTTGCAAAAATGTAAATACAGGTTACTTTCTTAAAGGATAAATAAGCTTCAGAGATTATTTGCTACCTTGAGTGATATTCTAATCATATGTTATTAGACATTAACTGTCACAGAAACAAAGTAAACATTTTTTAAAAGCCAGTCATTATCTACCAAGTGTAAAAGATGTTAATAAAAAAATTAAACACTTCTTAGTAATCTACATCTGCTACTTACACATTCATTGAAATTCCAAGATCAAAGACAGGTAAATCACTGTCACTTTCATCACCATTATCCTGTTGACCAAACCCTGAAAATCTTGATCTGCTAGTAGACTGGCTTGTGCTAAATGGTGAACAAGAATGTTGTCTTCGCAAAGCTCGCAAATTTCTTTGTTTTACTTGGATTTCACTTTGGCGAAATGGTGAGATCAAATGAGAAAACTTTAAAAAAAATAATAATAATAAATTTACATTATAATAATCTGATTTCTCTTAAATTACTTTAAGACTTTCTAGATGAATAATAACATTATTTTCAAGTGCTATGTTTCCTATATGTAAACCGAGACTGGCCAAGTAATTCCATTTCTTCCCATCTAGTACATCTAATGTTTATTTTTGGTCATTAGAGAACTTTGCTTATCATTATACTTATGCTTTCATGCCACAGTTTCTTAGAAACAAAAAATTTATCTAAAATATATCAAACTTTTTTGAAGAATATGTACATATTTAGAAAGTTCAAAACTACCATGAAAGGCCATATGCCCATTTAACACTCTCAATACAGCCTCAGTCAATCTGAGCCACCATGTGAACTCTTAGTACCCGTTTAAAGTCTTTATAGACTTAATACTTATAGCTCTCAATATAGTGAGTATATCTTGAAGAAATTTTTCAGTTAATATTACAAGTCTTTCAGATACAAAAAGTCATATTTCTTAGTGAAGTATTTTTAATAAAATAAAATAAATTGAGCATTTGTTTGGAATAGTCCATGTGTAAAGTAATTTTCATGTTAAAATTAAAAATACTTTTCCTCATCTCAAAAATCTTGAATTTTTTTGTGTAATCCCTAAAACCTCCTAAATGCATTTCAAACGTTTTTTTTCCAGTAAAACTTTATAGTTTATCTGTTATTTTCTCTACCCTGTCTCAAAATGAGATTGGTCAATTCGATCGACCTCGTAACCCCCCCCCCCCCAAAAAAATCAAAATCAACCTAAATTAACCTTTTTTTCTTTCTGGAAAAGTTTGTAACATTATACATCTATTTATAATTAAATTTTATTATTTTATTGCCCTTTGAACCGTGTCTAACTACCTTACACACCATAAAAGTTGTAAATCACTCAGAAAACATGCAGGTCAAGTTATTCTATCAAATTACATTGCCCATGAGCTGCTTGTGTGCGTGGCTCATGAACTATTTTAATTATATTATCATTATTTAAACTAATCTAGCCTTAAATAACTTAAAAAGATCCATATTTTTAGATTTTACTTACTCTTATAAGAATAGGTATGAAAAACAAGAAATAAAATACTTATCTAATCTTCTTTTTCTTGCTGTTGGGTTTCGAGGAGAGTTAACCCTAACTTTTTTATAGCACTAATAGAAATGCATTTAATAATTTTTATTTAATTAAATAATGACCAAAGAATATAAACTAATAACATGCAAAAAGTAGACAAATTCACTTACCTCTCAAAATTTTCTAGCTTTCTAACTATGCGAGAAGAGCCATTACAAATTCATTCAAGCTAGTCGTTAACTTTCTCACGGGAATAAAGTTTGTACTGTGAGTGAAATTGGCACTTTCCTTATCAGAGGACAATGTTATACAATATATCATTTTATAGATGAAAACCTTGACTTTCTATTGGTTATAGGTAATATATAATGAAATGTAAGAGAGAACTATCAACGAATTGTAAAAAAGAGAATATTTGACAGGTGGATGCAGCAGGAGGGGTCTGATTTTCTATTCGATAGCTCTGTACCCAAACAAAATTGAAGACTATAAAAATTATGGTCTGTCTGAGCAATAACGATTTGTAGAGAGTAATTTATGTTTA